GTTAATATGGATAAAGTTACTGCTAGCCTGCTTTCTACGAGCTACAAAGCATAGCACTTTCTTTTCTTCATGAAGAGTGATTTGTCACGATTAATTTAATTACAGCGTTCGTGGTGGTTGGAGCACATAATAAGGTTTTCATGGTCTTGTGGCCCAGGCTCTGCCGTTTCTTTAGCGCAGCGGTTTCCAACCTGTGGTCTGTGTTCCCCCAAAGGGTCCCTACAATTGTGTCTGTGCTGAGGTTGCAAGGTTACAAAGATTATTTTTGTAAAAAATACTTTTGTAAAATACCAATAACACACCCAACAGGCTCTGTATAAAGCTTTTAATGATCACGTTTATTGTACACAACCAATCATTAAAACTCATTCAGTGGTTCATGAGATATTTATAACAAACATAAATCTTATGTTTCAACTCAGGTCCTTTGTGATCTCCTGGTTTATTTTCACAATACTTGAAATGGAGCTAAAAGTCACAACAGGCAGAAGAAGTGCAATCAAGGAGAACCGTTAATAAACACCACGAGGAAACCAGATTGTTTGACTCGGTGTGTCTTGAGGGGATTTCTTTGGAGTGAAAGTTGCTGTTTCCACCTAAGGAAACTTGTGAGATGGTTACCATATACTAAACCCACCAAACTGTACAAGTTTTAGTGTTAACCTTGGTGATTCCTGGTACATCAGATCCTGAGCTATCCTAGAGTTATCAGAGGGAATACCGATGGAGCCACAAAGCCGGTGCTATTTATAAAACCCTGTACCAGAGCACAAATACCACACGGCATGACCCTGTTCAAAGGCCCAGTGCAGGAAGATCAAGTGAACATGTGGGATGTTTAATCACACCTTTCATCTGAGAATATTGAGTGTCTCTCTCAGTGAGGCTCTAGACCCATGACTTAGATTTTCATTATCCCACAGAGCTTTTTTGTGCTGTAGTTTGTTTGCATCACTTCTGCGTGGTTTAGCTTACGATATTTTCTTTCTGCAGAGCTTAGCTGCAGTCAGACAGATTCAGAGGAGAAGCTGATCCATGAAACCCAGGAGCTGGGAGAAGAGACTGAGCATGCTTTCTCGTGGAAGCAGCACAGGTAGATGACAACATCTACCCTATTTCATAACTGATGCCATGAAAATCAGCTATGTCGATGATCTCGTTTGGTTCATTCATGTAATCAATGATTATGTTCACGGCAGTTTCGTCCACATACTACCCATTTGCTGGGGGAGATGACCGCAGCATCTCTGGCTCTTCTGACACTTCAGACACCAGCCAGTCAGACTGCAGCATCGGCAGCCGGTTGACCATTTGGACCGAATGTGCTTCAAACCCTCCCCTAAACGTCAGCCACGTGGGCGCCAAAGCCACGCTACAGATTGTGGATAAGCTCTCCACCAACCAGGGAGGAGGGAGCCGACTTTCAGCCAATCCACCCCGGCAGCTTCTGGAAATCGGCCGTCAGAGTTCATCAGATAGCGGCATCGCTACTGGCAGCCATTCCTCGTGCACCGGCAGCTTCTCCTCATACACAGGCAGCCTGGACATGGCCCCTGCAGAGGACTTTGGGTCTGCTTTCATCCCGCCCTCCCACTTGGCTCAAGACCTGAGCCCATGCACATGCCCCCCTACTGTTCCTGGAAATGATTACCATGTGCCAATGTCGCTTCTGTATCTCTATGACACCCCCAGGAGTGTGATACAGGATGCAGGCGGGGGTATCGCTGACAATGAGCCCTCCGCCTCTACTCAAAACACTCCTGTCTCTTCAGACCTCACAGCAGAGCCAAATAAACAGGGTATAAGTGAAGAAACAACCTCTGAGAAGACCTCAGATCAAACTGACTCTGTAGACTCACAAGGCCTCCCAGAGGACAGGAAAGCAAAAGTGGCGCCCTCTAGTGACTCCTGTCAGACCTGCAGTTCTCTCACTTCTGCCTCCAAGACCGTAGTGACCATGTGCTCAGCATGTGGAGGGTTTAAGGTAAAGGAAACACTTCTGTGTTATTGATGTCTCAATTTTAAATGATGGATTGACCAAATAGCTCTCTCTTATTATTAGAAAGTAGATCCTCTGAGCTCCTCTAGAAGTCTTCTATCTAACCTTGCTGTGAGGCAGCAGCAGCAGCTTGTGTGTGCCGGCTTTATCAGCCGAGTATCATCTGCTCTGTGTGGATTACTGACAGAACGACCTTTGTGGTTTTTGTGCAAGCTGACGGTGATGCCTCTCTGCATTTGGTGGCCGAAAAACTAACAATCCCACGGCCCATCTGTCTAAGTTAGCATGGCAGCCAGTTTAGTTTTAACACTGTCATGAATTAGAGCAAGTTCACACTCTGTGAGCGACTCGCAGCTCTCTCTCACTCATGCTTCTTTACTTTGGCTTAAACATAAACCTGACCGGTGTTTTTTTTTTTTGGCAGTCGGTTTCTATCAAATAAAAAATTAATGTAAATCCTACGTGTGGACACATTAACGGTAAAACCGCCCATTCCCGCCTGGTTTAAAGAGACAATGTGTAGTTTTTACCGTTAATCTCTGGAAAAATCCATCAAAATGTTGCTGAAAATGAATTAAATGATGCCCAGTTGTAGAGAAATATTTGCAGCTTCATAAAATTATTCGGCATTCGTACAAGTCAGGTCTAAAATACAAGTCTCTGGGTGATGCCATATTAGACGCCATGTTTCCTTCTATGGGGAACCTATGGGGACAAAATGCATTTACTGATTTGTAACAAACAGTTACAAAATTTTCACCATTCATAAACATTGTTTTACACATTTACTTTTTCACTCGTTGCCAGTGAAGAAAAGGAGTCTGATGTTCTTGTCATTTTGCTGGAGGTTGTGCTACCAGGGATTTTTGACCCTAATGGGCATCCGTTTTTAAGGGCTACCTCAAACACAAAAATAGCGCTTGCCTGTAATAATTTAGGCTTGTACTGCTCCCTATTGCCAGGTAAAATACACACCATCACTTAAAGTATATTAGAACATCTAAAATAACATTTTTAGAAACGGGCTGTTGGTTTAGTCGTAAACTAACTTAAACAAACTTCTGTGTGGGGGTAAAAATGTTCAGCTCAGCCTTGTTTTTTTGCTTCAGGGACACTCTGTGTTTATTCTAAACTCCTATATAATCTCTACCTAGGTCAGCGAAAACCATCCAACCAATTAGGATTTAAATAGTTCATCACTCTTCCTGTTGGCTTTTTAATGAACAGAATTTGAGTTTATCTGTTTAGCTTCCAGCTATGTTGGATGGACTGCACCAACAGATGTGAAGTACATATAAAAGTTCACTAATTTAGCCACATGCTGTTAAAGGGTTCCAGATTCATGTTTTTGGGCCACTGGAGAAAGCATTTTGAGCCTCTTTGTTGAGGCTCAAAATGGACCAGGAGCCCTGATAAATGGCAAAACACAAACCTATTATAAAGCCCTACGATAGGAAGAGTAGTTTGCCCCGCCCACTAAGTCAGAACATGAATATTAAATGAGCTGTGTGCTAACCCACTCTCACGCGTGGAATAATGCAAAAGTTGACAGTCCTGCAAGATTTATACACCTTTTTGGGCATCTTCTGTTAAAAATTAATTGGTTATAGTTACAAATTACTTTTTTCCAAAAAGTAATTGAGTTAGTAATTCAGGTACCACATTTTAAATGTAACTAGTTACCTACCAAACGTTAATTTTACGTTCTATAATATCTATAATGTCAAAAAAAATTGACCTGAATGATTCGTACTGTCTAGAATGAACACCTCAGATATCTGAAAAGTTCATTCAGTAAGAATGTTCTAATGGATATCTGGAATGGTCATTTCTACTAGGAACAATACAAGTAGATATTTGGAATACATTTCCAGTCTGTTGAATGTATGTAAAAAGGCCACTTTAGGTTTTTCGGAATTCTGAGATATCTCAAACCTACTACTACTAGTGCAGTTGTTGTTATGGAAATCCTAACAATAATTTCTATAGTAACAACATTGCTGTTGATGTCTACGTTTGCAATTTTTGCTAATACAAAAACAATTACTTCCAGTCTAGGATAAAATAAATTATTTTATATAGAAATAGGAATTACAGAACGTTCCAATTGTTGATTAAATGTTAAAACAGCTTGCCATAGTCTTGGTATTGTCTTGCTTGTACTGCATTCACTCATCTCCTCACCTTCCTGAAGCACTTTTTATTTTTCTTTTCTTTCCTCATCTTATACAACTTTGCCCCCACCAACATTTATAGACTCCATATTATTATTGTAATAATTGCCCCAGGCCTTTTGCACGCCCCACCCCCCTCCCTGCTTTCATAGTGATCGGAGATGAGTGTGTGCGGTGCTGTGCACACTCATATCGCCGATCTGCAAACAAACACCCTGATGTGTTGGGTGCTGTGTTCATTTTTGCCATTTGTAATACCGGCTCGGGTGGGATGGTGGGTGCGGGCACAGCCGGTGTAACTCACTCGGGCTCCGGTCTGCCCAAGAACCATTTCATGCGTGACCGACATCACTGTCGCGGCTGTCAGACAGCCTGACAGCCGCTGCGCTTCATTCAACCACATCATAGTAACAGTAACGGTAACGGCGTTGCAAGGACGAGAAAAGTGATTCATTAGATTACTTTGTAATCGACGGTGGAAGAGGACAGGTTTGGTTGTTCATCGTGAATATTTTAAAGAACTTCTCGAGTCATACAACGAAGCTGTAGAAAATGCCAGGTCTTCTTTCTTCAGCAACCTCATATGTCAAAATAAGAATAATCCTAAGGTTTTGTTTGATACCATCTCCAGCATCGTGTCTTCTCCTCCGCAGCAGGCTCAGCTATCTTCAGCTGATGACTGTAACAGATTTCTCCACTTTTTTGCAAACAAGGTGTTGAATCTGAGATCCAGCATTCCACCAGCCCCCAACCCCCCCCCCCCCCCCCCCCCAGGAGGGGAGGCCCCTCAGTGCTCTGAGTCTTTCACCTCCTTCTCCCCAATTACACTAAATGACTTAACCTCAATAATCAGTCAGATGAAACTCTCATCATGCTCATCAGATATCTTAACTCCCTCTGTTTTAGTCAGGTCCCTTGCCTCTATCAGTCCATCTCTGTTGACTATAATAAACAGCTCACTGAGCCAAGGCTGTGTTCCATCTTACTTTAAAAATGCAGTAGTGACTCCTCTCTTAAAGAAACCCAACCTTGACGCCAGCTCCACCAGTAACTTTAGGCCCATTTCTAAGCTACCTTTCATCAGCAAAGTACTTGAGAAGGTTGGGGAAACCCAACTCAGATCCTGGTTTTCTAAGTCAAAGATCTCTGACCCCTTCCAATCTGGCTTTCTGAAGCAGCACTCAACTGAGACTGCTCTAGTAAGGGTGCATAATGACCTCCTGATAGCTGCTGATGCAGGGAAATGCTCTGTCATGGTCCTGCTTGACCTCAGTGCAGCTTTTGACACTGTAGACCACAACGTTCTACTAAACAGGTTAAATGCCCTGGCTGGGATTTCAGGTTCTGCTCTAGACTGGCTCTCTTCTTATCTCACCGACAGAACATTCACAGTGAAGTCCGAAACCTTCTCTTCAGATACTGCCTCTCTAATATGCGGGGTCCCACAAGGTTCAGTTCTAGGGCCTCTACTATTTGCATTCTATATTCTTCCCCTAGCTGGCATCATTCAGTCTTTCCCAGACATCTCCTACCACATCTACGCTGATGATATTCAGCTCTATATGTCCTTTATGCCACACCAGTTGGACAGGCTGGCCACACTTGTACTCTGCCTGACCCAGATCAGTAACTGGCTGTCCAGCAACTTTCTTGTCTTAAATGCTAACAAGACAGAGACCCTGATCGCTGCATCCCCAGAACTTCAGCCAAAAATCGAGCAAGAAATTGCCTCTTTTTGCCCATCAGCCAAGGCCAACATTAGAAACCTAGGAGTTATTTTTAATCCAGCTTTAAGTTTAGACTCACACGTCAAAACCATCTCCCGCTCTTGTTTCTTTCAACTGAGAAACATTTCAAAAGTCCGTAAACTGGTTTCTACTGCAGATCTGGAAAAAAAATCCATGCCTTTGTGTCATCACGCTTAGACTACTGTAATGCTCTTTTTACTGGTCTCAGCAAAACCTCCCTCTCACGCCTTCAAGCCATCCAAAATGCAGCAGCCAGACTCTTAACCAAATCCAGCAGACGAGCTCACATCACTCCAGTTTTACAGTCCCTCCATTGGCTCCCGGTAGAATATAGAATACAGTTTAAAGTTTTAGTCCTGACCTATAGAGCTCTCAACAACCAGGCTCCAAGCTACCTATCTGAGCTTTTATCCCCACAGACCACCTCTCGCAACCTTAGATCCACATCTGAAAACCTCCTGGCTGTTCCTCGAACCAGACTGAAAACCAAAGGGGACAGGGCCTTTCAGACTATTGCACCCAGACTTTGGAACAGTCTACCTTCAAATCTCCGTCTCTCTAACACTGTAGAGGTCTTTAAAAATCATCTAAAGACTCACCTTTTCATCCAGGCGTTCCCTCCCTACATGTTTCAAAAAGATGGCTTTGTTCGGGTTCTCACCTTCACTTTGTTTATACTCATGATTTTATTTTCTATTTTATCACTGCTATTGTTTTTCTGAGGTTTTTATTGGTTAGAGGTATTTGCCCTGATCTTTATCATGTTGTACAGCGCTTTGTGATTTATATCTGTGAAAGGCACTCTATAAATAAACTTTTACTTACTTACTTACTTACCTAAAATAACCCCGTTAATAATGCCGTTCTACTTAAACACAGTTACTCCCAACACTGTTTATACATTGCTAATGCTGATGTGGGTTGAGACATGCAAATGTAAGGAGGTGTGTCTACGCTTATGACGTGCTTAACCAGCTATTTATCCATGTCAGTCATTACTCAGCGGCCATTACAACATTCTTCATTTAAGTAGGAAAGCACAGACTTCTTTCTACGCTACATTAGACTCCCCAAGCTGCCTTTATTCAACAACAACAGATAAATGCTGGTTTGAGTTCTAGAACCTTTTTCATGTTTGTTGACTTATCTGGAGTTTTCTCCGCTTATCTTACGTTAAACTCAACCATTGCCCCCCACAACTTAATTTCTTAGCTCTTTCTTTAAAATCCTCAGCTGTGAATCTTAGCGTAACAATAAAACTGGAAACTGTGTGGGAAATACCGTATTGACCCAAATATAAGACGACTATTTTTTTTTTCATTGAAAATAATTTTAAAATGTGGGGTGGTCTTATATTTGGGGTCTAAGCATTTACACATACTGATATTTGTCTGGGGTTATCACACGCCCGTAACAGCAGAGGGCGCCAGGCTGTGTGTTCTCAACAGAAAAAAAAATGGAGACAGGAGGTTTGTAGCAGACTGGACCGAAAGTGGGGCAAGTTAACATAGTGAAAAGCACGAGTTATGCAAATTTTAAGATGACAGTGGTCAGTTCAGCAGAGGTGTCAAACATTTGCATGCATGGGTGCACTGGATGGCAGTGAGGACGGTATTCTGGGGGGAGCCAGCAGGTGTAGCGATCCGATGGTACACCCCCGCAGCAGCATGAGTGAGTACAGCGAGGCAGAGGGCGTCGGATTAAAAGCCTCGTTTGACCTTTGATTTCACATGTCAACAAAGTTCTGATAGTTTGCAATAAAATATTATTTTTGCTTAATATTTGTTCTCAAATTTTCTAAATAAATTGTTTATTTAAGAAGCAATTTTTTTTATGTTTGCCTTGTCCTGAAGATTAGTCTTCAAGGGGGTTGTCTTATATTCGGGGTCATCCTATATTGGGGTCAATACAGTAAGTACTTTTTCTACCTCAGACAAATTTCCAAACTCCAATCTGTAATTGGTAGTCATCACACAGTGAGGAAACACATCTATTGGGTGGTTTAACCCCCAATCCAGTTGGGTCCCGTTGTTAAAGTCTTTGGTGTGACCCGACCAGGACTTGAACCCTGATCGACCAGTCCAGACACTCTTCCACTAGACCACTGAGAAAGTGCACCATATATAAACCATCATCCATGCTTTTGGAACATCCAGCCTTGACTATTGTAATGCCTGCCGCTATTGTGTCAGTCAGTACATGACGTGCTTTTCACCTTTTAGCGTTTTAGTCAACTAAAAAACTGACTAAGACTAAAATGATTTTCCTTCATAAAGACTAAAACTAAAAACAACACTACACAGGAGCTTATTCTAATGACCTTATTTATTATCTGTTAGTTCTATTCATTCATTTCACTTTGTAGGTGGACGTGTGAATATTGCAGTACAATAAAAGTGCTGTGTAAAGAAGGAATAGTATTGTTGCTTTTAAGCTTAATATATTACCTTACTTATGACCAATAAGATGTGATATTCTATATAGATATGGGAAATCAACCTGATTGGTCTTTGGATGTTTAATCAGAAGAATTAGGATTCTTTGCTTTTTCAGTGATCATAACACACTTCGTATTAATTCAGACATAAAAAGTAAGAAATTTATTTTCTAAACAAATTAAAAACAAGACGAGTTATAAATAAGATGGACGTGATGGATGAATCTTAAGTGGATGGAATGTGAGGGGTGATGATGTGTGAATGTGATGTTATCAGAACCCTGGCACCTGAAGAAGCGGACTTCTGAGTGCGATTGAATTTGGTCTGCATTAAACTAGAAAGTTGATTTCTAATAAAATGGCATCAGACGCAATTGATGCTGTGCCTACGTACCCATTCTGGAGACTCCCGTTTGGATCCGAGATGTCAAGGGGCCGGTGACCCCAATGCACGTGGTCCGTAGGAAAACCTCGAAGCGACCAAACCAGTTCTGAGATGCCTCCGGGTCACAACGATAGATGAGATCGTTTGCGTCTAGAACAGCTGTTTCTGAATAGCTGAAGGAGCAAGTTTCTGTGTCGCTGCAGGCGGCTTTTAGCTTGTCGAAAGCTTTGATGGTTCAAAGAGTTTTGCTCCGGCTGGCCGGTCCAGAGCTCTGCTCAAACCTCACTGACTCACTCGGCAAGTGATTCTGTTTTAATATTCCCATATTATGATTACATGGCCAACCAGAATTTGACATGCTAAGAGGTGTTAACAAACAAACCTCAGAACCGCACCTTCATCAGATACAAGAATGTTCTAGTTCTGTGGATAAAAATCTTTATGTGCAGCGACGTTAACTGTAATTTATCTCTAACGAACATTGTGTCTGAGTGTAGATAATGATTCACTTGTTAAACCAAAGATTACTGATCATAACATCAAAATGTGGGCTGTGCAGTGGTGCAGCGGTTAGAGCTGTTGCCTTGCAGCAAGAAGGTCCTGGGTTTGATTCCCGGCCTGGGATCTTTCTGCATGGAGTTTGCGTGTTCTCCCTGTGCATGCGTGGGTTCTCTCCGGGTACTCCGGCTTCCTCCCACAGTCCAAAAACATGACTGTTAGGTTGATTGGTCTGTCTAAATTGTTCTTAGGTGTGCGTGTGTGTGTGTGTGTGTATATATATATTTATATGTGTGTGTGTGTGCATGGTTGTTAATCCTGTGTGTCTCTGTGTTGCCCTGCGATGGACTGGCTCTCTGTCCAGGGTGCACCCCGCCTGATTGCCCGTTGACCGCTGGAGATAGGCACCAGCCCCCCCCCCCCCCCAATAATATTATTGTTCATATAACATTTGTCCATTCAACCGTATTATTATTTAATGATTATTTAACGTATGAGTTGTTCAATCCGGCAGTCTTATCAAAAGAAGCTGTGTTGGGGAACATAGGCTGACATCTTGTTCCCCTTGAAATGTCAACAAGGGCTGCAGAATCTTCTGGGCTTTAGATGACAGAATAGAAACTCCACTCAGATAGTGGAAGTACGTCTGTAGGTGACCGGGCATTGTGCAGGTCAACATGAAGGTGAAAACTGACCCTTTCTGGAAGTTACAGCTGCAAAATCTGCTTGAATTACTTTTATAGTTCTGGTGAAACAATTCCTTATATGGTCTTTTCCTCACAGAGAATGCCTTTCATCTATGTGAGCTCTTCGGTGACACCAACCACGCCAGGTATGAGTAATCTGAAGCATCTCTTGCATTTGCATGCTATGTCTCGTTCATGCATGTGCAGAAAATGTAAGTGTGTTGGGGGTGAATGCATTGATCTAGCCTACATACACTATAACCCCCCCCCCATTGCAGTGAAGAAACCTCAGGAGAAGTCTTGGACCTCTCCTGGGAACAGCACCAAGCCACTGAGGCTGAAGATGGGCGAGAAGCCGCTGCCAAGAAGAGAAGAGAGGAAACTAGCCAGTCTGTTATCTGATCTGCTCAGAAGCACAGGCGGGCAGCCAGAGCCGAAGGCCCGTAGACCCAACCTGTATGAGTTGATGAGCCCCGCTTTGGGAAACGAGCTCCATTTGGCACCAGCTGGACCATTACGTGACTCTCCACCGGACAAAGGTGCTGTCATTTATGAAAAGTGTTTCAAGTGTCGGGGAGAGTGCTGCCATCCTCCTGCTAAACAGTACCAGAGCAGACATGTTCTCTGCTCTCAAACCTCCCCGGCGGGACCACGCCTGAAGAGAAGCCAAGATGATGATGAAGAAGAGTCGCTCTATCAGCTTCTCAGAGATGCCGAAGGGCAGAGTCAGTATAGAGAGATAAATGAGTCAACGGAGGAGGAAGGTAAGAGAGACGACTACAAACCGTCAAGTCAGATTTAGTTTTCCTCCTGGTTTCTGGACCTTCTCTTCCTCTTCATCAGTATAAACTCCACTTTCTATCTCTTGTTTTTAAATCGAAGACTTGCTTTTACCAACTGCACGTTAAGAGTGATGAATGCTCATGTTATTACTCACAAACTCACCTAAAGTCACTTTTAAAGAACTTAAATTATGTAATAGACTCTCTTTTGGGCTGAACCATCTTTTTAAATGCTCCCAACCAAACCAAATTATTGTTTCGTGAATCTTTACTTGTATATTTGTAGATGTTTTGTAATCATACGATTCAGATGTTCATGTGATGGCTGAAGTTGTTTGATCAACGCTGAATACCTTCTACAGTTTTCACCACTTTTGGTTTAAAGTTGTCAGACTTTATTAATTAAATATAAAGAATCATTTTCAAATCTTTCTAACAAATTAAATATAACAGACAGTTTGGTGCAGAGCAGTAATCGTTCAGGGCATACTAATCCTAACAAAGTCAAAGAAGCAGAAATGGCACCTCTCAAGATGAAAATCACGAGGTGCTTCACAAAAACAACAAATAATTTAAGTATAAAAATATTTCTAAAATTATAAAAGATGTGTTCAAAAGGAGAAAAGAAAAAAAATGTAAGGAAAGGGAGAGAGAAAATGAAAAGGAAACAGGGAAATCAGTGGAAAGGCAGAAGAGCAGAATAAAGAGAGTGGTGAAGAAGGTCATACAAAAACCAGCTTGAACAGGTGAGTTTTCGGCTGCTTTTTAAAGGAGACCACTGAGTCCACTGATCTCAGGCTCAGGGGGAGAGAGGTCCAGAGTCTGGGGGCCACGGCAGCAGATGATCTGTCACCTTTGACCTTTAGCCTGGTGCTGCACAACCAGTAGGCTTTGATCACTGGATCTCAGGGACCTGCTGGAGGTGTAGGGACTAAAGCCGGGCGTACACTGTGCGACTTTTTCACTTTTTTGAGCCGATTTTCCAGTCGTGCGAGAAGCCACGACATCGGGGCGAGTTTTGCGCCGAGCGGTCGTGTAGTGTACAGGGGGTTACGAGAGGCGATTAACACCACGTGACCAGCCGCCGATCAACAGTCGTGAGGTCGCAGGGACTTCTGGTGTGTTTAATATTTCGCTCGTCCCTCGTGAGGGTATCGCACTGTTGAAGCGGCGCTGCGAGCAGTTACGATCCAAAAAGTATCAGAACCGCTCACGGCGCATGCGCGCGCAATCCTGCATCAACGCCGGCCAGTTGCTCGCTATTTCCCTAATAACACACGTTGTTCGTTTTTATTTCTACACGTTTTTTTACTCACAAAGGTTGTCAAGAAAGTGTGTTTGTCGTGTTCATGTCAAATTAAACTGATCACAAAACACAGATTCACTTTCTTTATTTCGTTTTCCTCATCCAGCCCCCATAAATCCCTGTGTGTCCTCCTGCAGCACTCCCGAAGGACAACAGGCAAGACAAAAAAGTCTGACGTGTTGAGTAAAAACTGCTATTTTAGCACATTTTTAGGGCCGACGTGTTGCTACCAGACGTACAGTGTGAGCAGTCAGGTCGCATGCGAGAACTGGGTTGTACAGTGTGAGCACACGACTCGTGAGATCTGCTCTGCGAGGAAGTCGTACAGTTTGAGCTGAAGCTGAACGCTGCGAGTGAAAAAGTCGCACAGTGTACGCCCGGCTTAAGAAGATCACCAATGTAAGATGGTGCTTGTCCATGTAAGGCCCTATAGACCAGAACCAGGATCTTGAAATGAACCCTGAAGTTGACTGGCAGCCAGTGAAGCTGGAGGAGAAGCGGGGTGATGTGGGTGTGTTTGGAGGACTTGGCCGAGCACAGGCATTCTGAACCACCTGTAGACGGTTCAGGGAGGTTTTGCTCAGACACTTGAAAAGAGAGTTACAGTAGTCTAAGCTTGAGGAGATGAAGGTGTGGATAACTGTCTCAAGTTCAGAGCGGGACAGAATGGGTTCCTGACGGAAGGTTTGGTGTGGGAACCAAGCTGACCAAGAGAGTCTCTGACTTTGGGAACCAGCTTGTCTGGGGCACAGATGATGATCTCAGTCTTATCTTCATTCAGCTGTAGAAAGCTCCCACCATCCAGGTTTTAATAGTCTAATGCCCCCGTCCACACTAGGGCCGGCTCCATTCCACTCCGTGCAGTCAGCCCCAGCATGGTGTGAATTAGAGCCGGCCAATCAGTTGGCAGGGGTTGTGTTGGAACAGTTTAGCCTGAAACACACTACTTTGGGAAGAGGGCTGAAAAAATGACAGATTGTGCGTGAAAAACATCCCAGCTATGCAGATGTGATTGCTGCATGGAGGTGGTGAAGGATCAAAACTTGGAGACCACAGAGGAGAACAACTCCAGAGCAGATCCTGGTAGGCCTACCCTGTCTCTCAGCCTATCCAGTAGCTGGCTGCAGTCAGGTCCAGCAGGACCAGAACAGAACAGTCCCCTGCAAGAGCACACTGGGACCGATGGACTGAAAAGCACTTTTAAACAAAGATGGTTTTCACTTTCTCCATCAGAGAGGATGGAGGCTGTAGGTGAGGCAGGGGAGCATTTCTCACTGAGGACTTTTTTCATTGACAAATGAACAAAACTTGAGAAAAATAAACCAAATCTCTGAAAATGTTGGCAGTCGGACTACAAAAACCAGCTGGCATTAACATTTCAAATCCATCACTGGTCTGTCACTGGGAGGACCACTAATGGGAATGGCATCGGATCACCTCTAGGGATATTTTAATTACACTGGAAGCCTCATCAATGAAGACTGAATAAAAATATGAATATTCAAATGTGAAATCTGCTTCTCTTCTCCACACATCTGATCTGATATGTGAGGGTGAGGCAGACAACAGCAGGATTAAAAGTCTTACTCATTAATATTCATGATATCCAGCTTCTAGCCTCTGATTAGCTAACAGCAATTCAACTCTTCCGCTGCCTTCGTTTGTTCTTCTTTCTTGAGTAAAAAATGCAACATTTAAGTTTTATTTCCACAAACAGCACAAGTGTTCTGTCACGCTGTGGGGATGCTAACGGTTAGCTCTACTAGCTCTGCTCTCTCCAGGCTGCTTAATCAACACAGTCTTGAACAGTCGCAGGCCAGGGTGGGCGGGGCCGTGAATACTAATTTTCTGTGTGATGTAGAAGAGACTGGCTTTCCCTGAGCCAGTCATTTTCTCTTTCTGTGGTTAATGTGGGTGATAGGGATTGAAGAAAAATGTTCATGATTAGCCTGCTACAACTAAAACATGCTGGATACAGGCCCTCGAGGACCAGAATCACTCACCCCTGTGCCACAGCTAGTCATGGGTGGTGCATGACTTCAAAGTCTGAAATAAACATCTTTGTATTCTTCTCTCAAAAATACAAAGTTTTTTTCTTTCTTCCCACTGATCATCCATCCTTTCTTTAACTGGACATGTGTCAAATTCCAGTCTTTGAGGGCCGCTCTCCAACATGTTTTAGTTGTTTCCCTCCTTCAACACGTTCAGCCATTGAATCAGATATGTTGGAGCATGGAAACAACTAAAACATGCTTTTAAGCGGGCCTCAAGGACCACGGTTGGAGACCCCTAGCTATAAAGTCATTTAGGAAATGTTTATTTTACGTTTGTCAAATTTCTGAATAACACTATTGTTGTACAGTCCTTGTAATGGCACCAATTAGACACGAAGGCTGTGTCTCAATTCAGGGTCTGCATCCTACCTCGGCCGGATTCGTCGGCCGGTTACGTCACAGCGCCGCGACTCGGCCTGTCCCAATTCGAAGACTCCTTCAAATGCGGTCGACGAATGCGGCCTTCTTTTCGCCTGAATGAAGGATGGGTCGGGTGTATCCTTCAACAGGTAGCATTTCCCAAGATGCCTTGCGGGCCGGCCGGCAGAAAAACTTAAAAACAATGGCGGACAGTGAAGCGGGAGCTGTCGGAGAGGATTGCGCATATAAATGTCAGTATAAACTTGAAAACTGTCAGTTTAAGGACTTTTTGTGATACATGAACGTTATTTTAGTTAGAAATGTTACAGTAAAAGTGCTTGTATTGCGGTCTCGGCTCGTATGTTCGGCCGCGCTCGGTGTCGTACTTCTCCCACTACGTTTCCCCCTGATTTTAATAGAAGTTTGTATTTTAGGACCAAAAGAGAAAACCAGGGAATTTATTAAGCTTAGGGCGGAGATGGACCACATGATCACCGGAGCAAAGTATTCGGCGGCTGTGGCATGGAGGTACAATAACATCTCATATTTTAAAAACTCGTTTGAGTATATTTTTTTCTGCGAAAACATGAAAGGAATAACCCGTTGTCCTCTTTTCTCTTCCTGTTTCTTTTCTTACATGTTTGTTAAGACTATTCTGGAGAAAATGGGCATCCAGGGGAAGGTGCCAGCGATGAGCTTCTGGAGCTGATCTGGGAGGACATGAGGCTGCAGAGCAGCAGAGAGCACAGGAGAGAAGGAAGAACTTTGACAGCTTTTTACTTTGCTAGAAAAAAATGGTTAATGAAGATTAAACATGTACATATAAAAGAAATATCTAAATAAAATCAGTTCTGCATTAAACTCTTGAATTTTATTTTTGTTTACAAATGAGAATTGTTTACTAGAGGGTATCCGCTGGGTCTTGAAAAGTCTTAAAAGGTGATAAATCGGTTTTGGTCAAATTAAGACCCTTAGAAAGTATTAAAAACTATTATCACATCTTTGCTCAGGCTCAGCTAGTCTAAAGTATTTTCTCTGAATTAGCTCTCCAACAGTCAAGGAAATGATTAACCCCCAGAGACCCACGGTTGTAGTATCACAACATCAGATTTAAGTCTACAAAAATAAACCTTCCCCATTTTTTTTCTTTTTAAAACCACATTTACATTGCTAATAGGTCCTATTCAGTTCTACAACACTATTGGCTGTTAAAATGTGTAAATAGGCCCGTTTATCTGGCCTCCTAGAACAACATGTGAAAGGTTAAAAATATTTTGCAGTTTTCTAAATTTGGGTTTCTGGGGGTTAAAAAGCTAAATAAAACGTCGAGCTCCATCGTTTAAGGTTCCTTCTGCCCAGCGGTTCCACGGTTATTAGGCGACGGAACGTTCGCCGAGGGAGTTCATGAAGGCTAGGCCTGTCCAAATTCACAGCCGTTAACATCCGGTCTACCCGGCCGACGGAGGACGCAGCCCACGTCGGCCGGGTGGGCTGGGTCCTTCGAAGGATGCAGACCCTGAATTGAGACACAGCCCATATACAAGGCAGAGTCCATTTTCAACACCATTAGATGAAGTTATTCATGTAAGGATGAAGGTAATGATCTGAGCTAGTCATTAATGAGTTTGTATCTGTTTGAGTTTTTCAGGACAAAAGTTACTCTTTCACAACAGGAACCTAACACCACGGCATGCTGAGCCTCTAACTGCATGTGTGGAGTTTATTCAGCTTTTTAGTCAAAAGTTAAGGTGAATAAAATTGTTTTGTTACTTTTTAACACTCAGATATCCGAGATTGAATGTATCTCCTCCCTTAAGTGTACCGTGCATTTTGATTCAGAAATATCTGGTCATTAACATTAATACTACGGCTTGCTTTATTCTTTCTTTGCAATCAGACAAAAAACTTAAAACTAAAGAGGAAAACCACCAAGCCAGTCCTGCTTATGAGATCATGGAGAGTCGAATCCCAGAGAGAAACTCAGAGGTAAGAAACACTCAGCTCTGCTCCTCACACACTCAAACTGTCGAAACCCCTTTTACTCCAAGTTCAGAACAATGTAGAGAAATGTGTTATGCGAGTACCAGCTGATCATTATTACAACTGAGAATAAACCAGAGCTTATGGACGTTGACTAGTCGGAGGTTTTAGTCGTCTATTTTGAATTTAGCACAAAGTAACAGTTCAGTCAGCATGTGGAGTAAATGAAGATGTTTAGAAGTTGTTTCAGTCTTTGGTGAGCTGAAACTCACATGTAACAGCCCTGGGGGTTTCCTTCTGCATTGCTTTTTGTTTTTTACTAAAATGCATTTTTGTGCTGGTTCACTTTTCTCAGAGACAAATAACTTCCATTTTCTGGTTGAAGTTGAAACAAGTGCTGATTAAGCCCAAACACTGTTGGATGCAGACCTTGTTACAGCTCAGAGATCTGTCAAACGTAGGTTTTGGTTAGAATACAGTTCACTGACTGATGGATTAAACTGTAGTAAGTTTTAATTGCAGCAAAAGGACAGTCTCATCATTTATGTACGGAGCTGTTGCCGTCTGAGAGCCTAAAGACTATAACAGCATTAATGAATGTCTCTTTATTTTCTGAACCCTAACCACAAATTATTTAGTAATATTTGAGTTAAGTTTTTTAAACGTAGTAACGTTCCTAATTCAAGGCAGACATTTTCACTATGTTCACATTAGAGGTTGAAGTGTGTGTGAAACTGTTAAGTAGTGATTAGGCTTGATAAGGCCTTGTGCATAAATCTCACCTGTTCTACAGGATTGCAAACAAATGCCTGGATTCCAGTTTCAGATGTGGAATTATCCACATTTCTTGTTTAACAAATACATACACACAGCTCTGAAATCTCAAATGTAAGCTCCCACCGTACTGTGCTGCAAAATACCACTGTTCGTTTAAAGATTAGCATAACAATCACGTTAGCATCTTTGGGGCCCTTGCTGAAAACCTAAATGTGAAGGAAGTATCTTGACACTATCAACATATCCAGCTCTCAGAGAGTACAGACGCTTTTTCTTCAGCTCCCTCATCTGCTTCCCCAAGGCTCTCTGTCCTGTCTGCCTACAGAGCACTTCTCTGCATTTCTCCTGAAATCACTACTTCTTTTTTGGAAAATGGACTTAATTAACTGGTCATTCAACGCGATTGATAAGATTTTTTCTACGATGAGAACGGAGAAGGGGGCTCCCACCTGTCCCGAGGGGACATTCGCATCGGGATATGCACTCGATTTTTGGGAGGTCTGGCGAATCGTGTGCCTCTCTCAGTGGTCCATCGAGGATGTGGAAGATTTGTGGATATTCGGCCTGATGATCACTGGATTTCTTCTGATTGGAGTGGGAGGATATCTGGTTTTCTGGAAATTTGGGAAGACGGAAGCAATTGGAGTGCGACCCGCACCCACGGAATGTGCCGCCCATGCGGTGACCTCACAGACTGGGACGTTACTCGAGGTGAACCGTAAGCTGGACAATGTCCTCGCGGCGTTGCCTGTGTTAGTGCGCAAGATGGATGTCATCTCGGAGATGGTCGCCGGACAGTGTGGGGATGTTTAGAACGTATAATTGGCTTCACTGGTGGACATGAATGACCACTTAATAGACTCCAAGGCAGAGAGGAAAATTATCTCTGCCTGTCCTAAACAAAGTCTTGTTTATCCTTATCTGACACCAGGGCAGCCTCCAAGGCTGCCATCAACACACCCCCACGAAAGGAGGAATGCTAACAGATGCTGTGTCCTGACCTTCCCCCCTGCCTTCAGATTGTGACTTCTGCTTCGAGGTCAGCAACCTACAGGACACTCAATGTGCTCTCTGTCCCTCATTTCTCCCTCCCACCTGTTTGACTGCAGCTGGCTGAGCGCCGTAATGGCAGCTCCCGTTGGAGGATTCAGGATCCTGCCCAACCCCGCCTCCCCATCGGACTCTGATGTTTTGTATCTGTGATGTTCGTGCTTCTATGTTGAGGAGTTTTTTTTGTATAATAGAGTTACTCCCCGCTGGGTCTAACTCTGCTATGCCTTTTTTTTTACCTTACCCCAATTATCCTCATGTAACACCCTTTTCATCTAATGAAATGAGTGCCGTTCTGGCTGCTCTCGTGACTGCCTGTACCTGTTTTTGTCTACATGTGTGTGTGTTTAACCTTGGTCAGGTTGTGTTTCTGGAGTCAAGTTCCTATGCTCTGGGTGGCTGGAGCGCTGGCAATAAAGCTTATTCTGATTCTGATTCTGATTCTGAAGTACACATGAGAATAAAACCTAAAGGTGAAGCTACAACAAAACGCCCCCTAGTGGTTGGCTGCAGTGTAATATTTAAGACCCCCGATTAGGGATGCACCAAAATAGAAATTTGGACCAATGTTCATATCTGTTATTAAGGGACCTGCTTGCAGCAGCAGCAGGTCCCACAATTGTTTTTCACCAGAGGATTTGATTTATTTAATATAATTCTTCCGTGGACATTAACGAAAGACGGCTGTGTGCACCCCCACACATTACACATCAAAACAAGCGGCTCGGCCGCGGGAGGCGTGCTGTTACTTTTACAAGCAATCAGACTTGCCATGGTGAAATTATTAGCAAAGAACATCCAAAAGTATCCCTTTTTGGGTGTGTGCATGTTGCCGCGTACGTGTGCAGCCACTTACTCTTCTTCACCAAAGAAAATTACCTCTTGATTAGGCGCGTGCATCCCCTCAAATGTTACATCAAAATGACCGACTCGGCCATGGGAAGACTGGTATGTCATGATTTTGGGTTACTCACCCCAACATCACCCAAATGTCATCATTTTGGGTTTATTAACCCAGCATCACCCAATATAAATACCGCCAGCAGACAGGTCCCTTTTAGAATTTCTTCAGGAATTTTCTAGTTATTACTGCTATTGTGGCCAATAATAAATAAATAAATTTAAAAAATGTATATATATGTGTATATATATATATATATATATATATATATATATATATATATATATATATATATATATATATATATATATATATGTATATATATATGTATATATATATGTATATATATGTATATATATATTGTATATATATATGTATATATATATATATTATATGTATATATATGTATATATATATATATATATATATATATATATATATATGTACAGTGGGGCAAAAAAGTATTTAGTCAGCCACCGATTGTGCAAGTTCTCCCACTTAAAATGATGACAGAGTTCAGTAATTTACATCATAGGTACACTTCAACTGTGAGAGACAGAATGTGAAAAAATATCCATGAATTCACATGGCAGGATTTTTAAAGAATTTATTTGTAAATCAGGGTGGAAATTAAGTATTTGGTCAATAACAAAAATTCAACTCATTACTTTGTAACATAACCTTTGTTGGCAATAACAGAGGTCAAACGATTACTATAGGTCTTTACCAGGTTTGCACACACAGTAGCTGGTATTTTGGCCCATTCCTCCATGCAGATCTTCTCGAGAGCAGTGATGTTTTGGGGCTGTCGCCGAGCAACACGGACTTTCAACTCCCTCCACAGATTTTCTATGGGGTTGAGGTCTGGAGACTGGCTAGGCCACTCCAGGACTTTCAAATGCTTCTTACGGAGCCACTCCTTTGTTGCCCGGGCGGTGTGTTTGGGATCATTGTCGTGTTGGAAGACCCAGCCATGTTTCATCTTCAAAGCTCTCACTGATGGAAGGAGGTTTTGGCTCAGAACCTCACGATACATGGCCCCATTCATTCTGTCCTTAACACGGATCAGTCGTCCTGTCCCCTTAGCAGAAAAACAGCCCCAAAGCATGATGTTCCCACCCCCATGCTTCACAGTAGGTATGGTGTTCTTGGGATGCAACTCAGTATTCTTCTTCCTCCAAACACGACGAGTTGAGTTTATACCAAAAAGTTCTACTTTGGTTTCATCTGACCACATGACATTCACCCAATCCTCTGCTGTATCATCCTTGTGCTCTCTGGCAAACTTCAGACGGGCCTGGACATGCACTGGCTTCAGCAGCGGAACACGTCTGGCACTGCAGGATTTGATTCCCTGCCGTTGTAGTGTGTTACTGATGGTGACCTTTGTTACTGTGGTCCCAGCTCTCTGCAGGTCATTCACCAGGTCCCCCCGTGTGGTTCTGGGATTCTTGCTCACCGTTCTCATGATCATTTTGACCCCACTGGATGAGATCTTGCGTGGAGCCCCAGATCGAGGGAGATTATCAGTGGTCTTGTATGTCTTCCATTTTCTGATAATTGCTCCCACAGTTGATTTTTTCACACCAAGCTGCTTGCCTATTGTAGATTCACTCTTCCCAGTCAGGTGCAGGTCTACAATTCTTTTCCTGGTGTCCTTCGAAAGCTCTTTGGTCTTGGCCATAGTTGAGTTTGGAGTCTGACTGTTTGAGGCTGTGGACAGGTGTCTTTTATACAGATAATGTGTTCAAACAGGTGCCATTAATACAGGTAACAAGTGGAGGACAGAAAAACTTCTTAAAGAAGACGTTACAGGTCTGTGAGAGCCAGAGATTTTCCTTGTTTGAAGTGACCAATTACTTATTTTCCACCCTGATTTACAACTAAATTCTTTAAAAATCCTGCCATGTGAATTCATGGATTTTTTTTCACATTCTGTCTCTCACAGTTGAAGTGTACCTATGATGAAAATTACTGACCTCTGTCATCATTTTACGTGGGAGAACTTGCACAATCGGTGGCTGACTAAATACTTTTTTGCCCCACTGTATATATATGTATTTATATATTATATATATATATATATATATATATATATATATATATATATATATATATATATTGGATGTTTTTCATCCCTCACATGCTTCACGTCGCTATTGAAAACGCACATCCATGACTTGGAATTTGGCCAGTGATTGTTTCGCTTTCTCTGTTTTATTGTTGTTTGCTTTAGGCTTTTGTATTTACTGTATTTTTAATCTGCTTTTATTATACAGCACTGTGGTCAGCTCTCATGCTGTGTGTTTTTTAACATCCTTTAGAAATAAACTTAAGCCTGGGGCACGCCGGTCATTTTAAAAAGAAGCCGTTAGAGTTAGTGAGTGGCTACACGAGGAGCGCAGCCCAGAAGCGCCGAGACAAGGCACTGAAAATAGGCGCCGGTTCTATTTTAAGCACCGCAGCTGTTTGCAACATTGTGGAGTTCTTCACAACATACATTACAACACGGAACGGCCTTACGGCACAAACCCAACTGCAGTATTGATAACTTTACAGTACAATTGATCTTAAAAAATATTCTAATAAATGGCGTACTCACCCATTTTTAATTAATTAGAGTTTCTCAAACCACGACGGCAAGTCTGCTCACGTAAAAACAAAAGAGGCACTTTCTGCTTCCTGTTCTCAATCCCGCGTGATGTTGTGACTGTCGCGCCACTTTCCAAGAAGCGCTTGGCGGCATGGCCTCCTATGGGACCACTTGACTTCTCAAAAAAATCACAGCGCTTCCAAGTTTAAATGATTCAATGATTCAAAGGCACCATCACTGTGTGCAGGTGATGTAGGCGGGGCACGGTCTGCAAATTCTGGCTCCAAAAACACAACATGACAGCTCAGGTAAATAGCTGATGGCATCACTTTTCAGCAGCTGAGTTTTTTCTGATCTGACACTGTTTACAGTCAAGTCCAACAACACTGGAATATCTGCAGTTCTGGTGTTTGTAAAATGGCAAAAGCTCCCTGGAAAGTCACACGGCTCTGTCCTACTTCATGAATGTAGAGTAGATCTGTGAGGCATAAAATGCTTTTTTTTTAAATTAAAATATTCGCTGCTTTTACAAACATTGGTTTTATTTTCTGGCTTTGAGGAATATAATACATAACTAATATCTAGGAACTTAACATTTGGTCTTCTGGGCTAATAAACCTTTTACTCTAATAATTATTAAGTGTTTAAGTATTTGTGAACTCATTGCTGTGAAATCCAAATGGCTGAACTCAATAAGAAGTTTTCACACCACATTTGTTGCTAGAAGTCTGAAAAACAACAATCTGAACAACACAGTCATCTTTAATCAGAGTTCTCAGCAAAACCTCGAGAATCAGCTTTGTCTGTAAATGCTCCTGACGTTCTCACGGAGCTGTCGAGTAGAACATTAGTGTCGCTCTTATGTAATAAACTTGTGTGCTCGGCACGGCCACTCTGCGTTCATCAGAACTCACTTTTTTCTGTGTTTTAGGCAGAAGAGCGAAGCAGATGTGAGCCGATGGGCATCTGTGGCCAGCAGAGCTTTCCTCAAGAGGCTGAAGGTGAGTGATTCTGACATCATAAACCCAGATGGGTTTGGATTTAATTAGATTTAATTTGGTTGAATCCAACCATCCAGCCAAAATGTGCACTGTTTTGTAGCTTCTTAAAATAACAAGGACCTGCTTAATGAAAGTGAATTAGATGTATGAGTCAGCACTTGAATCTAAAGGACTTGAAACCATCACCTGTTGCTCAGAGTGCACGAGTTAAAACAAGTCCATGAAATAATTCAGTCTGTGAAATCAGACTGGCAGAGGATTCCCAGAGGAGGTAGAAACATCCAGTCCACACTCAGACCACCCTCAGGGATTTTTATTGATGTGTGTGAAAATTAGCAATATAATAACACAATTATGACACGTTAAATACACTAAATGACAAATTAGAGACAATGAGCCAGCTAAAGCATGACCAGTTTAAAAATAAACTGGATTTAAATAGATTCAGAGTCAAGAGGAGTGATCAAAGACGGCAGAACATTAAGATGGTTGGAAAGGGTAACCAGAAGTAGTCTGCAACAGAAAACCCTTCAAGCTTTAAAAAGACCTTCAGTCGAGTCATTGACCTTTACACACTTCACATCCAAGTCTTGGTAGAAACCTTTTATGGTTGTTTGGTAATAAAAGAGCATTTAAAAATGTTTGATGAAAAAAAAAATCAACAATTTTGTTATTTCATTTCATGACTTATATATTATAAATGCTCTCTAAAATGGGCTTCTCGTCCACGTTTCACGGCTGATACCACCGGTAGAACACCCTTTTACTGAAATAAACTCCTTTGTTGTTTTCCAATTGCATGACTTTGTCAATAACTTATTCAGAGAAACAGAAAGGAAAACCTTCTGTAACAAAACCATTAAATGAGTCACGGTGACTCGTATTCTTGTTAACTCAGTTTCTCGGATTAAAAAGTGGCTAAAATTCAGGAACAAGGCGGTTTTGTTTGTTACAAAAACACAAAAGCATTTGCATAGATTCTTCAGAGTATGAATTCAAATGCTAAAGCTACTATGAGCCTTTAATTCAGGTTCCTGATCTTTTTAAATGTATTTTATCTCCACAACAGAAAGGACATCCTCGTAAATGTTGTCTAAATAATTGCTGTGAATCTAAACCTGCAAAATCTTACAGTTTGATGAGAAACGAGGACAATCGTTAGAAAATCATCTCGGTTCTGTTTCCTGCCTCGTCCATCTCAACACTACCACTCAGTCTGTGTCTTCCAGGATGTTTGTGTGTGTATTTTTAGTCCATGTTGAACCAGATGGGTGCTCAGAGTGATTCAGAAACAGTCCATCCATCGGTTCATGACTCACTTACATTTCATCTGGCCCCAAAACTTCAGAGGAATCTGCCTTGAAGCGTTTCTTCGCCCAATTTTAAAACCTAAACATGTGAAAGCTTCATATGAGGTCATTTTAGTGCACAGGAGAAAGAATTCAAATCCAATACTACTTTGTGTATTTATGGTATGAAAACGTCAATTCTCTGCAACATTGTGTGGTCATCGGGGGTAGTTCCTGTGGAGTGGCAGACTGGGGTGGTGGTCCCCATCTTTAAGAAGGGTGACCTGAGGGAGTGTTCCAACTACAGGGGGATCACACTCCTCAGCCTCCCTGGAAAGGTCTACTCCAAGGTACTGGAGAGGAGGGTCCGGTCGATAGTTGAATCTCAGATTGAGGAGGAGCAATGTGGTTTTCGTCCTGGCTGTGGAACTGTGGACCAGCTCTATACCCTTGCAAGGGTGATGGAGGGGGCATGGGAGTTTGCCCAACCAATCCACATGTATTTTGTGGATTTGGAGAAGGCTTATGACCGTGTCCCCAGGGGCTCCCTGTGGGGGACGCTCCAGGAGTATGGGGTGGGTGGCTTTCTGTTAAGGGCCATTCAGTCCCTTTACCAGAGGAGCGTGAGTTTGGTCCGTATAGCCGGTAGTAAGTCGGACCTGTTCCCGGTGAGGGTTGGACTCCGCCAGGGCTGCCCTTTGTCACCGGTTCTGTTCATTACCTTTATGGACTGAATTTCTAGGCGCAGCCATGGTGTGGAGTGTGTCGAGTTTGGTGGCTGGAGAATCTCGTCTCTGTTTTTTGCTGATGATGTGGTCCTCCTAGCTTCATCCAGCTCTGACCTTCAGCTCTTGCTGGGTAGGTTTGCGGCCGAATGTGAAGCGGCTGGGATGAGGCTCAGCACCTCCAAATCTGAGACCATGGTTCTCGACCGGAAAAGGGTGGCTTGCCAACTCCGGGTCGGGAGAGAGGTCCTACCTCAAGTGGAGGAGTTTAAGTATCTCGGGGTCTTGTTCACAAGTGAGGGTAGGAGGGATCAGGAGATCGACAGGCGGATTGGCTCGGCGTCTGCAGTGATGCAGACACTGAGCTGATCTGTCGTGGTGAAGAGGGAGCTGAGCCAGAAAGCCAGGCTCTCGATTTACCGGTCGATCTACGTCCCAATCCTCACCTATGGTCATGAGCTTTGAGTAATGACCGAAAGAATGAGATCGTGGATACAAGCGGCCGAAATGAGTTTCCTCCGTAGGGTGGCCGGGCTCAGCCTTAGAGATAGGGTGAGGAGCTCGGACATTCGGGAGGGACTCGGAATAGAACCACTGCTCCTCCGGATCGAAAGGAGCCAGTTGAGGTGGTTTGGGCATCTGGTCAGGATGCCTCCTGTATGCCTCCCTGGGGAGGTGTTTCGGGCATGTCCGGCCGGCAGGAGGCCCCCGGGTCGACCCAGGACACGTTGGAGAGGTTACATCTCCAATCTGGTCCGGGAACGCCTTGGGGTCCTGCCGGAGGAGCTGGTGGAGGTGGCTGGGGAGTGGACGGTCTGGAGCTCCCTAGTTGGGATGCTGCCCCCGCGACCCAGACCCGGATCAGCAGAGGAAGATGACGACGACGAAAATGTCAATTCAAACAGTTGAAAGTCTTCATGTGCCACATTTACTTCAGCTAGCATATACAGTCATATGTTTTCTTTATTTGTTTCACTTTTTTAAAATTTGGCATCATTTCTGAGTAGATTGAGATGAAAATAGCTTTCTTACCATTTAGCAGAGAGAATTTCTTTCTGATTTTCCAAACTGAGATGGCTCTAACTGCTATGTACTGAATTATCTGAGGTGTTCTATTTAAAAAAAAAGGGCAAACCCCTTTAAATGTAGTTGTTTTCTCAAGTGGCAGACAAGCTTTGAGGTTTATGTACTGATTATTCTAGAAAGTCCCCAGCCTATCAGGGTCTGGATGGGCGTGGCCAGCTCCAGCTTGTTTTCTTAAAGGGATAGAACCCATAAACGGCTCCTTCTGGAGGGTACTGAAAATGTCAAGAATAAAACTTGTTCGATTGCTTTATGTGTTAAATGGACATCTGATATAAAACTTTAAAAAACATTCTTGTGTGTTTGCAATGGTTTGTTTGGTAAAGTAATTACTTTTTCTGCGAGTTTCCTACATAAACGGTTGTGGGGCCTGGATTTAGCTCAAATATTGATAAAAGTTTTTGTGCCCATTAATCGATGTTTCCTACATGGAGTTTGCAGCAAGGCCCTGCTGCAGCACGACTGTTTATTCCGTCATCTGCATTTTTATGTAATGCCACAATCTTCCCTCTTGTGTGAAGAAAGCAGATGTGTGACCAGACAGAGGGGAGAAGCTCCTGAGCTGATGCGAGGTGAGAGGACAGTTGTCAGGGGACGTTTGGCCACATAAGCATCCCACACCCACATGCTCCTAGTCTATTGCGTACCATCTCTATGAAGGCCCTGCAGCTGTTGCAATCTGTCACCACAACCATCAGCCATGTTCGGGTACCTTCACGCATACGGCTCTGCCTCCGTTTCCCCATCGTCCTGCCTCAGCAGGCGGCTAATGGGCGGAGATGTGCATGAGGCGCTCAGACCCGGTGGCACAGGTTTGCATGGGAACTCGGTGAACTTAAAAAGGGATCATCTGATTAAAAATAGAACTTTCACACAGCACACATTGGGAGAAAAAGGTCCAGCTGGAAATTTAGGAATGTGTTAGATTTAGCTGTATTTTAAGCTTTAAGTGCACGACTGAGACTGGAAAATAATGAAGTAATAATGACTGTTTTCACACCTGCTGCCGTGTTTAGTGAGTTTAAACAAAACTCTTGTTTGTTTCCCCCGTGATGCCATTTGTTTGTGTTGGTGTGCACGCAGTAATCCCACTAGGCTACGGCCAAAAACAAACAAAACTAACCCCTGGGTGGTTCGTTCATAGTGTGAGTATGACCCAACCTCAGTCTGATAAAGCTACCAGGTGTATGGGCTTGAGTGAAACGCTGTCTTGTAGCCAAGCATACGGAGGTACGCTGTCTTACTGAAAATTGGGCAGATGACTTTGACAAAAAATTAAGCAGTTAACGGAGGAGAGGTTGGACTCTCCGGCTCAGACCTGACCTATCAAAGGATTTATAATTAAGATAAAGCCCATTAAAGGTGGAGTTCGAATCCTTCGAACAATCCAGTCAAGCAAGCTTCATTTAACATATTTTTACATATAACAATTCAAAGGTCCAACTCCCTTTCTTCAACACCCGATTCCTTGAATCTGATGGTTGCAGAAAATGGTATAACACCAGATGTAACAGATAGTCAACAGCCACAACAACATAACATCATCTTACCGTTTCAACACATTTTTTGCATCTTCTCTGTCATATTTTCTAAGGTAATGCAGCTACGTGTCAGCCATCAGGCCTCCAGGTTTCTGACTCACTCGTTACTGTCTGGTGCCGGTCATGAGTTCTTTGGACATCTCAGCCGAAAGTGTGAGAGTCCCTAACTGGGACCTAAACTGGAGGTCCAGCTAGAAGGACTGGGCTGATTACACCTAAACCCCCTCTGTTACTACCGCTCAGGCAATGTAATTGTTATGCTAGCTAATAAGGCTAGCCTGGTTGTGGCTTTACTTCCTGTTCAGCTGCTCCAAGCCGAGAATGCCATCATGCACATAGAGGGACATGAAGGGGGAGAGACT